TTAAGGCCCTCGCTTGTATTATCTCCAAGGACAAGAAGTATGGTTGAGATTTGTATTAATTGTTGGAGGGCCCCCCCGCCCCCCCGGAGGTACTCCCTGATTGGGGAGTTGTGTTCTTTTATGTCATTCAGATGTAATAAAATGATTGGTGTTCTTTTACTTTGGCTGCATTTCATTCCCTGGAGCGGGTGTTCTGGGATTTCATAGAAGACTTGTGTCCCCTGATCCCGATTGTCTCCCGTATTACAGCAAACCCGGCCTGGGGAATCCTCAACATGTCCAAAAGTCATCCCCCCCCGGTGATCCCGCCAGGGTGGGCATTGTTCAGGCACTTCCTGTTATAGGGTGACAACTGTCTGACAATTGCTTTCCTGCGTTGTCACAGGTGTGGCTGTGCTGGCACGCATGGAGCAGGCATGGTTCATGGTGCTAAGAGGCTGCAGGAGATCAGCAGCACTGAGATGTGAAAATGGGATAAGCCCTCTCCTGTAAGTAGGGAATACTCCCCTGTTCTGTCACTTCTGCCCCTGAACTCTGCTCCGTTACTGAGAAATGGTCCCCAAAGTCTGCTGGAAAACCCACATTTCTGGGAGTCTCCATCTCCTGGGTCCCCCATAACTCTCACTGGTTCCTCCCACCTCCTGGACCCCCCATAACTCTCACTGGTTCCTCCCACCTCCTGGGTCCCCCATAACTCTCACTGGTTCCTCCCACCTCCTGGGTCCCCCATAACTCTCACTGGTTCCTCCCACCTCCTGGGTCCCCCATAACTCTCACTGGTTCCTCCCACCTCCTGGGTCCCCCATAACTCTCACTGGTTCCTCCCACCTCCTGGGTCCCCCATAACTCTCACTGGTTCCTCCCACCTCCTGGGTCCCCCATAACTCTCACTGGTTCCTCCCACCTCCTGGGTCCCCCATAACTCTCACTGGTTCCTCCCACCTCCTGGGTCCCCCATAACTCTCACTGGTTCCTCCCACCTCCTGGGTCCCCCATAACTCTCACTGGTTCCTCC